AGAGATAACAAGATTTCAGTTTGATAATCCCTCATTGCCTAACAAATCCTTAAGAAAGATCTCAGTGGATTACACAAACAATACTAAAGTATCTACCAAAGCTTCTAATGGTATATATACTTCCATGTCTCTAAAATAATCTCAGTGGATTACACAAGCCTCATAGCCTAACACATCTCTGAAACGATCTCAGTGAGCTAAAGTATCTACCAAAGCTTCTAATGATATATATACTTCCAAGTCTCTAAAATTCTCAATACGAAACACAAGCATACTTCAAACTAAGGGCTCTTCCAACATTTCTTGATCAATTTGAGTAAAATTGGTTCATAGTATTTCATATACACTGCAAAAAAGTGACAAGTAGCCAAATTTGAAGCAAAGATCCTTACAGATAGCAGATGGAATCACTACGAGCACATTCGAGGCAAAACGCATGATCACAAGGAATCTGCAAACAAACAAAACAAAAATCAAAACTTCACATAGAAGAAAACCCTAGCCGCTTAAAAAAAAATCAAAATTGCATAAATCCGAAAAACTTTTTACCAGACGACCATAGATTGCAATCGGAAAATCGCAACGAACACAAAAGTGAACTCTCTCTCCTAACTGACGGCGAGAACGACGACCGACGGGTTTGATTACGGTGGTTGGAGTCACGGAACCAATCCCTTTCGCGACAGGAAGATCAGCGAGGACGAGGTGGTCAGGACAAGCTACAGTCACTGTTTCCGTCGGAGAAGGTCTCGCTCCATTTCCAGTCTCCGTCGGCGAATCTCTCCTAAGTCGAATTTGAAGCATTGTCGTCGTTGTAAATTCCAAAAGGGAAACGAAAATCAATTCACATGAATCAAAAACCCTAAAAAAAACCAGAATCAAAGAAGAAGAAGAGGAATCAAATCTGATTTATTTTTAATTGAATAAAACATTATTCCCAAAATACTCTTAACTAGAAGAAGCCTCTGGGCGAAAAAGAGAGTTCCAACCTCAAAACCAACTATTGTTTGAATGCATTTGATTTCAAATATAAGTAAAGGATAATAAAATAGTACATGGGAATTCAAATAAAAATCATAAAATTTGATTAGTCTTTAAGAAAAGCTTGTACTGGTTTGAAATTGTAA